GACAGAGCCATGTTGTGCAGAGAAAGAGCAACGAATGTATTGGGAGTTGTCCACATACCAGCCTGAACAATCTCCTCCAAAAGACAGGGGTTTCGAGCAGCTAAAGATTTAGTCAGATGACAATTTAGTGTGAAAAACATTATGTAGATGGCAACCTGCCATGGACATGTCAAAATATAGCAGCTGTATGAGGTGACCCAACCAGTAAGCATACAGGTGAAAGATTATGGAAAACAGAGGAATGCCATGGAACAATTAGACAGAAATGAGAACAACGAAATTAGGCAGTAAGAGACAAATAATATAGCAGGAAACAAAGTGAACAAAGTAGATGATCTGGATCCGAACGGAAAGACAGGTGGTAAAAGGAAGATAAGGAAATAGGAGAAAATGCAACATATGCGCATAACATAGGAAGAATGGTAAAGGATGGTATAAATTTGGGAACGACGATGACCACATACCAGGAGGGGGAGAAATTAAGAGAAAAATGGTACAAGGAACAAACTGCAATGGGTTCAGAGGGAGAACCAGATAGGGCATGAAGAACAACACTGAGATCCCAATCTGTTAGAACAAAGGAATGTGGCAGATGGATCAGAGGGAGAACCAGATAGGGCATGAAGAACAACACTGAGATCCCAATCTGTTAGAACAAAGGAATGTGGCAGATGGATCAGAAGAAAGAAATGTAAAATGAGGGAAATAACCTGGAAAGAGAAGGTTTTTTGGAAGTGGGAGAACAGAAGGTGTTCAACAGGCAGCTTTATAAAAAGCAACAGCTGAAACAGACAAACCCTGATCAAACAACCAGATGAAGAACTGGGACAGGTGAAGAACAGAAGGACAGGATGGTTGGAAGCCATGGCAAATAGACCAAATCCTCTGGTATATAAACAAAGAGGAAGGGCAAATGGTACAGGCAAGAAAAGATGAGAGGTGAGTCCCTAAGCTGAAACATGGGACCAGAAAAAAACACACGGAAAGGTGGAGTGTGATGACGTTGGGATGAAAAACGTCAGATTGTGGTTGTCAGAGGAGCCCTCACGACAGAGAAAAAGGCAGGATCTGTTGCTACAGTAAGGACCAGAGCAGAGAGAACCATATCTGAGCCAACCAATATAGAGCAACCAGCAGAACACAACAATGAGTGGTCTGAATAAGAGAAAAGACCCAGAAGAGAAGTCTAATCGAAGGGTAGGCACATAGGTGAAGACCCATCTGAGTGGGTAACACAAACATTTATGTTGAGAACATTCCTGTGGATGAAGGGTGCACTCTGTGGATAACTTGGCTGGGACGAGAAAAGAGATCGGCCACAAGATTCATAACTCCAGGAACACGACCCACCAGAACCATCATTTCATGGTCATTGGCCAAGTACAGGAAATCCTGAGTCTGAAAAGATAGTGATCTGGATGTGGTTCCCCTTACTTGGTGATAAAGCTGACAACAGTGGAATTGTCAGAATGAACCATACCCACCCTCCCCTACCAGAATGGGAGGAAATGATACAGAGCCTGATGAACTGTCAAAGGTTCCAGGAAGCATCTGTGAACAGATGAGACATGGGACAAGGCAGAGGAATGGGAACCCCCCACTGTGGTCAAGTACCTGTCGAGCTACCAAGCAAGGTTGACCCTAATACCAGGTGGAAGAGAGATGGAATGGTCCAAGGGATCATGGGAGAAGTTCCACTGGTCGAGAAGCATCCAATAAAGAGAATGCATGTGCACCCAACCTAAGAGAATGAGAGTTTCCAGTGAAGCCCACATTCATAAAAGAGATAGAACCTCATGCACAGAGAGGAGAAGATAGGCTTATTGTGACTGCTCCTTCCATATCCTGGAGCCGAAGTGGAGAAAGCTGGGTTTGACTAAGACGGGAAGTGAAGAGAACCCCCAAATCAATAAGATACTGATAGAGATAATAAGGACTTTTTCAACTTGATGAAAAACCCCACCCAAGCAACTCCTCAAAGAGAGAAGTGGGTGTGAGTGACTGACTGGGCACAGGTTGGGGCGAGCAGAAGCCAGTGATCCGTGAAATGTTGAGTCCAAAAACCCAGCGAGTGAAGATGATGTGTAAAAGAGTGTACTACTTCCCAAAACACATACGGAGCTGAAGAAAGACAGAATGGTAACGCCCAGAACTGGAAGACAGAACTCTCATAGATGAAACGAAGTGACAATGGGGCAAAACATCCACTGAAGTGAGAGGTAGGACTCCATGGTGAGGCGAGGCATCTCCAGATAAGGGTACAGCCAAGACAGATAGATGATGGGACTCCAAACTCCCGTGCTTTTGGGGACAGTACAAAGAGTAAAATCCCAGTTGAGTGAGGTACCACCCATCTGATAGCTCCTTTGTGTAGTAGGACTCGAATAGACTAGGCAAGATGACTGGATAAGGTACAATCCCAGGGAAGGAAATCTGGGAAGTGGATAGAGAGGGAGTTAGACGGCAGACTAAAACCCTCAGACAGAACCCGTATAAACTATGGAACTGTCATGAAGTGTAGCCAAAAAAGACGAATAAACTAAAGAACTTACAGAAAGTACTCATTACTAACAAAACTTAGAAATATGTAGAGTCTACAAATTACATAAAATAACAAAACTGCAAAACTAAGAAATGAGACGTAAAAAATAAAAGAATAAGTAACACTTCAAGTAAAAACCACGAAAGGAACTGAGAAGATAAACGACTCTTAAGTATCGAACTTCTAAGTCCAGTCAAAGAATCTATAAGACAAAGAACACAAAAATAAAACCTATCCTGAAGAACATGAGAATAAAAGGCACCTAATTAACAATAACAAATTTTGTCTAAAAACCAATCCCCAATTAGAGGTGACGAATAGTAAAGAAAAAAGAACTTACAAACTAAATAACATTAAAAGTCAAAAGAAGTAAAAGTTTAAACAAAAATAAAAGAATAAACAAACTCCAAATGCAAGTTTAAACTAAAATAACCAAGATGGTAAAAGAAGTATAAAAATCTAACTTATCCAACACTGAGCAGAGAAGACCTGAATGACCTATATTATCAAGTGCAAAAATTAGATCCATCCACACTGAAAAACTTACCACAGATCTCCTGGGAAAAGAACAATACCACCCAACCAAGCAGATTACATGGAGGCATGGTAACAGGTGGAAAGTGCTGTAGAAATAAACAGTAGTTCAATCCCTCGGCACAAAAATTGTAACTTGAAGGAAAAAATCGGCGGCCAAATGTAAGACACGAACTCCTCATGAACAAAAATCCTGTGCTTCCTCAGCAGACATCATCAATCATGAGACCTGAGAACTAATGTCAGAACCACTGTCTACTTCTGGCAGGGATTTTTATAATCTGTCATATTAAATCTCAAATTCATATGGACAAAGTATAATTGAGAAAACGTAAACATTTCAAAAACAAACGAGTAGAAACAATGGAAATTAAACACTGATATAAAGTTGTGATCAAACACAACCAAAATTTTGTAGTTACATGGAGAATGAGTTAAAACACGTGTGTATGCTAGAATGCCACTTGAGAAAGTGACGATCGTGTTGCAATGCTAGAGAGAGCTACCTGCACTAGTATAAATGGTGCAGTATCATTGGTGGAAAGTAGTCACATGATCAGCACACATTGCTGCAATGGCACAAAAATAAAAGGGTATAATAGACTTGTGAGCTGTTGAAAATTTTAGCAATACGTAGAGGGCAAATCAAGGTTGAGATAGCTTTGGGAGAGGGGAGGTTGTAGCATTTCAGAATTTCCACACTACTC